GTTGATTATGATTATTATGCTCATTTAAGTTATGCATAATAATAATTCATGGCGTACTTATTGAGATTTTATAAATCTCACTCTATGATAATTCTCCCTTGAGGTAATTGATGGTTTGAGGCAGTCAACGTGGAGATGGCAATGGGTCAGGATCAATAAATTATTTTGTGTTTAAAACACAACTTTGAATTTCCAATTTAGTTGTTATATTGGAATTATTTTCTTTATTTATTTTTTGCAGCTACATGGTAAAACCAAAATTTATTTACTTATCGAAGAAAAATACAATTATTTCGTGTTCTTATTTTAGGTCTTACGAAAGAATTGAGAGGATTCGGGCCATCACAATTGGTATCAGAGCTAAAAGTTTTTAAATCGGTTCTATAGACATAGCATATATTTTCAAAATCTTGAGCTTTACAAAATTTTTTGTTTAAAGAAAAAGTTTTTTTTACTGTTCATATGAATAGTAACACACAGTCACTGATCATCGTGAATAGTGACACAATAAAAAAAAATTTACAAAAAAAAAATTCCATTAATGGGTTGTCCCATTTTGTGCAGAATATGTGTATTTGAATTTTAATTTGATATGGTATTGGTTTTTTTCAAAGTGCATTTTAGAATAGGTTTATTTAGTTAGGCGCTATTATCTAAATAGCATAATACTATCTATAAGTTTTAATCCAAGAATCGATCAGGGCCCAATAATTAAGATGGTTTTTTTTTTTAAGTCAGTTGATATTTAAAATGAAAATTTAAGTTGTTCTAAGTCACTAGCCACTATGCCATCCTCCATGTCTCAACTTCCTTGAACCAGGTATGTATGCACTTTAAGTATTCATGCCATCTCACGTATGAAAGCATGCTAATTTCATAAAAATAGCAATCGTGAATATCATGACAAAATGAGAACAGAATTGCAATTTTATTTAGGCTTATTATGCATAAAAGTCAATAATAATATAAAAGTTTGTATGTTATAGGTGTTTGCTATTATATTATTGATAGAAGACCTCAATCATAGATTTTACACTAATGTAGAAACCATGAGATATATAGATGTAGCTATGTGATTTTAAATGTATGTTAAGTTTAGTGGGAATGACTCAACTAGAGATTAAGTTTGCAATAATATACAATCATGCATTACATGAATAAGATTAATAATGAATCCGCGCACGATAACTCATCCCTTTATCGTTGCCAATGTAAAAACAAGGGAAAATTTGTGGATGTTTATTAGTACGTTCTCTTAAAAGTTTCAACTTCTGGTACAATAATTGATTCTTTTATCATTACCTTCGTGTAAAAAAAAGGATAATATTAATAATAGTAGTAGTAAAAAAAATTGAAAAGTTCTTTTGGAAAGAAAAGTAATTACGTTCCTTTCTTTCTAATAGATGGTAAGTGGACAAGGTCAAACCAGTCAAACTGAAAAGCGCAGTCATTTTATTTGATTGCATAGGAATTACAAGAAAAACTCGAACCACGGTTTGATAAAACACTTAGATGCCATGGAAAAGATTTACCGAGGGGCAAGGGCAAATAAATATCAATTACATAGGGATGAGATCGTGTATCAACTTGACCGAACACTTACTCCTTATAGGAGGCAGTTTATCAAGGGAATCAAAGAGACCTTCAACTACCAGACCCCTCATATTCTACTACTCCGATACATGAGGGAAAGGTAGAGGGTGCATCGTAAAGACGTTAGGGGTACCAGTAAGATGCCAGGCTATGAACCCAATTTGGGCAACGTCATAACAATACTCGAAGTTGACTATGAGGAATATTATGTTGAAGAAGACCCAAGTGAAGAATACAACCCCGCATCATATTCTGCTATTGATCCGAAACCAAATCTTGAGGAAAAAAAATGAAGGCAAATCAAAGAAAGGGTATTAGGAAGAACTATTAGACGATGCCTAGTTTACTATATGTTTAAATTTATGAATTTCAGCTTGTTTAGACATTTAGTATGCTTGATGGTTCGTAATTTATGTAAACTTATGAGTGTTTATAAATAAAGCATGTTATTTCTTTATGTTTCATTCCTCAATTTGACTTAATCCTAAGTAGTTACTATCATTTAATTAAGGTTATGGCACCCCGAAGTAGAAGGACTAACAATAGCAATAATCAAAACTAAGAGTCCACACAACCGTTCAGCCTCAGCCTAAACCTAATACAATTGACCCACAATTTGCCCAGCTATTTCTTGCTATGATGCAAACTTTTGCACAAGCTACGATGCTACCACCACCTCTTCAACAACCAACACCACCATCTTATTGTCACCTCTACCAGAACAACAACATGAAGCTACCCTCAACACTAAGACCACTGCTGCTATGTTCGAGCAGTTTAAGAAATAGTATCCTTCAATCTTTCAGGGTAGTACGGACCCCTTGAAAGTAAAGGATTGTTTGGTGGGTATGGAGAGGATTTTTGAACTCATTGACTGCCCAAAACATAGAAAGATGATATGTATAACCTTTATGCTACGTAAAGGTGCTAGGCATTGGTGGGGCACCACTGCCAGATTAAAGGGCTCTTCGTCATGTTTGGATACGGGAGGAATTCAAGGAGGCCTTTCTAAAAAAGTACTTTTCTATGAGTATTCAAAATTGGAAGGAGGCTGAGTTCCTCACTTTGACTTAGGGCTCAATGACTTTGATGGAGTACGAGTAGAAGTTTAAAGAGTTGGCTCATTATGCTCCTGAGTTTATAGTTATAGAGGACAAGAAGACGAGACATTTTGAGCAGGGTTTGAGGGATGATTTGAAATGGACTGTCATAGTACTTTAGCTTGAAAACTATCATGATATGTTGGCAAGTGCACAATTGGCTGATTTCGAGAACCGCATTAGTAGGGAGGAAAAACAGCATACTAGACAATCAGAAAAGCAAAAATGGGCGGACAATAAGAGCAAAGGAAAACAAGATTATGCTNATATATCTAGCATATAGGTACCATGGCCCAGAAATGGAAAGCACTGTCGGGAAGCTAGATGATTTACATGTTAATTTGATTTCTTTATTTAATTTAGTGGAGTAGTACAAACTACAATTTGATTTGATACTTGGACACTGTTTTACTTAAATTGAAGTTGGGTTAGTTTAAAAACTAACTATAGATAGTAATCTCTGCAGAACAATGCTTGAACTTTATAAATCTATTTTTATTGCTTGTCACGATTTATACACTTGCAAAAATAACGAATTTATGTATTACAAGTACGTTACACATGTCTCATGATATAAACTTTTGTATACAAGTTATGTTTCTACAGAAACATTAACATATTTTTTAGATTTGCACTTATATAAAGTTAATTTTCGAGACTAAGAAATATTTTTCTGAGATATTGATTTGTATCGAACTTTTATTCCTTTGAAAATATCAAAATAATATTTTTCTTGAATACCTATGTAGTTGAGTTGTGTTTCTTCATGCATATATGAGCAAATTTTCTCATATTAAATCGTGCTTATTCAGGAACACAACAAGATTTGTTCTCTTCAAGAGCATAATTACAATATCCTTTTAGAATATTGATATTACAAATTCATTTCACTTTTTGAGCAATATAATATTTTAAAAATCAAATTTTGTATCATAAGCCAAATTTGCCAGATCGTTCAGCCACAGTTTCACAGCTACGTCTTCTGTTTGCCTTTTTTCAGCATCAGTAAGCACGGCTTGGATCATCGACAAAGTTGTACGCCATTCTTTCAGCTGAGCATCGATTCCTACACGACGCAGAAATTTCAGCAGCTCACCAGAGGCCAGGTTCTCAACCAAGCCATCGATAATTGCACCAACAAAAGCTTCGACGATAGCCATTGTTATCTTTTGTGTAAGACAGGAAGCAAGAGATAAGAGAGATGAATGCAAGTGAGACTGACTAGTAGATATTAAAGTCGTCTACTGTGGTTGGGTTCAATAATACAACATGGCGAGGTCAATTAATTAACACGGAAAAATGTCAAAAGTGGAACTGATACTGGTGCTTGGGTACAATTATACAACATGGTGGGGTCAATTAACAAGGAGAAATGTCTTTTTTTGGAATAATCTTATAGAAACATTTATTCAAATTATGCAGCTGGAGTCTCACATTTTTTAATAATCTTTTTTGGTCTTATCTCATCTCGAATTTTGTAATTTATAGTACTTTCTTTGTCATTCGATAATTTATGTTCACTTCCCTATAGCATAGTTATTGTTGGGAATAAAATAACACGTATTATTAAATAAATCTCTCCCCTTTAAACTCAAGCTAGCAACCCCCGATGTATAGAATATTGATAGCATACCCTTTAAAGCTCTTTCTTATGCTTAAAATTCTCAAAAATCTCTATACTTAAAGTGGATAAATGGAGAAATGAACCGGACTATCTAAATTAATTCGTTTCTGCAAATAAGCTCCAATTGCTTACAGTGGATCAATGGAGAAATGAAATTTTTAGAATCCGTTATTTTCCTTTTCTCTTTTAATTAAGTTGATAACTGGTTGTGTTCGTTTATTTTTAGTTATATGGGCTTCTTAGTTTAGCAGGGTGATTTTCTTACTGGGATTCAATTTGACATCACTATCTCCTTTTCCAAATTCACACGATTATTTATCTGAGATTACTATTTTCCCTCTTTCGGAGTCAAAAGCTGCAGAGCTCTGTTGAAACTTAACCTTATGCCAATGCAATAAACGTGTTAATAGAATTCAAAATTGTAGCTTCACACCCTGAAAGATCCAATGTCCAGTAGCCAGAAGAGTGGAAGAAGTCGGATTTCACAAGAAAAGCTTTAACTGGCAGCAAGTGAAGCCTCCTACTCATAGAAAGTAAGGTGACAAAAGACTGTACCAAAGTCCATCCAAGATATACATTTCTTAATCATCAGAGTTTCTTCCGAAGTTCCTATAACAATCCAATCAAAGCAAAGATATCTGGGGACCAAATAGCATCCTATAAAGAGATGTAACACACTTGACTGGAAATAACAAAGAACAGCATGGAGACGAGAGCTTAATGTCCACAATCGATCAACTGTGTTACAATCTCTATTAAATGTGAAATCATTTGTAATACGGAGTCAAAAACGTGCTTCAAAATTGCCAAGAAACTCCGTACGCAATAGCTACTAAACTCAGAAAGTAAATTTACAAGGGACTCATGGATGCATAAAAGTGGCAGCTAGTACCAATAATCCCTTGAATCTTACAGAATCGACGTTCCATTCCTCTGTAAATAGCATCCACTTACATTGAAGCAACTCACATATCAGATACAGACCACAAATATGCTTCCCTCTCTGTAGCTTTTTGATCATTCATCCTTTTGAACAGTCCCTTCTCAGTACCTATAAGATGCAGGAAAAAACCCATGATATACATAGAGAAACAAATGAAATATTTTGAAGGTCTGTCAATATTATAAATCTAATTTTCACTTAAGCATGCATAATGTTATAGCACATCTATGCATTTTGATAGTGAAAAAAGTTGCTTTTTTCATGATTTTTGGATAGATTACATTTTTCTTCCTTTAAATTGAGAAAAGTCGCTCAAAAAGTACTGACGTTGCAATAAAAATAAGTAGCTTATTTTCATTTTATCAATATAAAAATTTATTAATTTTAAAACGTGTTTATTTACTTATAAGAAAGCAGGTGCTGGGCCTAAAAACAGTAAAGCCAGGATACAGAAACCATCAGTGCGTAGAAAGGGACAAATTTTGCTTCAGATTGGAATTACAGCCAAAAATTAACACTTTGCATTCAATAAAAGATGGAAAGTGAGTTTACCGTTACTGCGGTCAACACCATCCCAGTGTCTCCCGGGTTTAATCCCATAACGGTTTGGAGCAGCATCCAGTCCTCTTCTTATCCAGCTGTGACTTGGGATTTCCTGGGGAATTATGAACCCTGATTCTTTCATCTTTGCACCCTCACCTAGATCTGGAAGAACTGGCTCCAAATGCTTTTTCTGAAACATCATACGTAAAATGTAATATGTACAGGAGATCAGAGGATAATAAGTGTATAGAATAAAATAGAGAACTAATCAATCTCAGATGAACAAATATAAGTAACCTACTTTGACCAAGTGCGCCATAGGATCGCCCCACCTGACTCTTTCCTTCAACAATTTATCAAGTTCAGGATCATCCCTAAAAATTCAAGGTTGGCACAAGGTCAGAGGGCAAATGCAAAACACTTGACGAGAAACTAGGCACCTCAAACTAATTTGGAGTAAGAAAGAGGACAATAATCATGTAATCATCTACATAAACTGATAGCTCTAAACAAATTATTGATGCATACGCAAAGTACGACTAACATTAACAAGAGTTTCCCAATCTTAGTTCATCCATTTCGTTTGTGCATGTATCTCAAAATACAGCCAGAAACTTCAGGCATGTTCAAACGAAATAACATGCTAACTGTACATTCAGTACTTTATCAAATTATTTTACACGTCCTCTTAACATCAACACAGCCTAACAAATGAAACAATTAACACCATCGTATTTTTACCATTACCTGCTCCTTGCAAATGGTTTATCCTTCTCAACTTCCAATTCTTGCATTCTAGCCTCGGCTTCCCGCTTTTGAGCTAATCCTTTACCCCATTCCAGCTTTATTTCCTGAATGAAAAATACAGTTAATCCACAAAAGACAAGTAATATATCGTGTCATTCCCTGCCGATGAAAACACTCCGTGGCTTTCATAGCGGGTAAAATCTATAAACTGAATCAAATCAAACCATGGATGCTATGTACAGGTCATTGCAAAGATTATATATGATGAGATAATAACAACTATTTCACAACCACTCAAGGCAATCTTATATTCAATTGTTTCTCAGTGTTGGGAAAACAAAAAGGTGGATGAAGCTACCAGACAAAGATCAAGACCAAGCCCACCTAGAACATGTGTTGACATGGATGTCAATGGCCCCAGATTGGACAGATTAGGGATTAGAAATGATCAATTTGGAATCTGGCAGACACTCATAAACTAAAAGGTGCCAGATTATTGCTCAATGTACCAACATCTTGGTCATGAAGCTAAGCAGCCTTTGGAGTAAAGAATGAGAAAAGGAACGAGGGAAGGATGAACTGAAGGATAAGAAATAATCGATCGTGCTAAGAAAACAATAGGAGGAAGAGTCATTATGCGAAAAAAATGGTTCTGAACAAGGGAAAACCATAATTGATGACCCAATTACTTGGAAGAAGGGGATACAGAGGAGAGTGCACCGGAATGCCCAAAAGGTTTTGATGAATTGCTTCAGCAAGAGGAAAAACTTCTAGATGCCACTAATCTCCTGATTCAAGAAAACATGGAAGAGCCTCCATGGAATCAAACATGCCGAACACTGATTTTTGTTTTTATTCCCCGAAAGGAGCAAGAACAAAATGCTAATCAGCTGTTGGTGCTCGATGAGGAATAGGATTCTATTAACAAAGTACAATGCAGAAAATATTCAGGAGGGGATGTAGAAGGCATAAAGCAAAGAACATCTGTGGAGGGTTTTACAACTGTGGTTAACTCAAAAAAAATAAAAAATAAAAGGTGGGGGCCGGGGAGGGGGGGGGGTACAAAGTAAGTTCTAGGATTACTGGGAAGATAGTATTAAAGAAACGTATCTCTAGTCTATTTCAATACATGTAACAAAGTTCAACTTTATGATATAGATGGAACTCGAGGTATTCACAAAGATCCTTCTAGGAGTCTTAAAGGCCTTGTCCAAATCCGCTGCATTGCTTTACTGATTTCATTAAAGACTTAAGTTGCTAACTTGAAGATAGATTCTTACAAGTTCTTTCTTTCTTTCTTTCTTCTTCTTCTTCTCTTTTTTTTTTTTTTTTTTTTTTTTTTTTTTTTTAATAATAAAGAATCAGATATTTTATTAATTACGAATAATATATAGGAAGTGTATTATCAATTTATACAAGAAAATAGCAACATAAAATTGGACAGTCCGTCTTTATGAGTAGTAGCAGCAATGTTAAACCAAGTATACAATGTCAAAAAAAAATAATTATTTAATTTGCTCTATTGTCCTTGTATGATCATCAAAACAGCGGTTATTTCTCTTCTACCACATACCAGATGATGCACCTTGAAATAAGGTCCCAAACAAGCTTGCTATCTTTATTACAAAATTTTCTCCTCTATGCTTTCAATACATCCTCCATATCCTGCGAAAAAACTCAATCCATGTGTTGAGAAGCCAGTATATCGTTCCACATGGAACGAGCACCGTCACAATGAAGGAACAAGTGGTCAATCTTCTGGCCATTCCTCCTATGCATATAACACTACTCCGTAACATAAAACCCCTTATTCGGAGGTTATCCACCGTTAACACATATCCCTTCATAATCGTCCATGGTAAAAATGCCACCTGAGGGAGAAGTTTATATTGCTATACCATCTTCCAGGGGAATAAGCTCTTCACAAGTCCCAATAAGGATCTAAAATAAGTACTACCTGCTACAATCACTCTCTCCGCCCTAATGTGCACCTCATACAAAGAGATTAGAAGCATTGCATACTCATCCCAACTCCCAGTCATGCAAACCCTCCCAAAAGCAATGTTTCAGCTAAGATTCTCAACATGTATATGTAAGACTTTATTCACCGTAGCAGATGGCATCAAAGCAATACGATAGAAAGAAGGAAACCCCACTCTTAACGGCCAATTTCTATACCAACAATCTTCCCAAAAACTGATAGTATTGCTATTCCCCATCACAAACGTCAATCTATCCCCAAAGTCACTCTACCCTCATCGGATATACCTGTAGAAACTCACCCCATAAGAACCATTAAACTCGACTGATCACCATCCACCTTCTATAACACCATATTTTGCCTCTATAATTTCTCTCCAAAAATTATCCCTCTCCATACCGAATCACCACAATCACTTACCCAGCAAGACCTTATTAAACAATACCAGACTCCTCAATCCGAGCCCCCCGTCCTTATGGGAAAACAAATTGCACCTCAATTAACTAAGCGAAGTTTCCTCCTCTACCCCTCCCCATAAAAACTCCATTTGAATAATTCCTAATCTTTTTGCCATTGAGATAGAAATAGGAAACAATGACAAGAAATAAGTAGGGAGATTCAATAGGATGGACTTAATGAAGGTAAGACAGCCTCCTTTAAGAGGTACATACGTTTTGAACTCGCTAGCCTCCTCTCCACCTTTTCCACATTACTGCTCCAAATAAGTATACTTTTAAAGTGTTCTTCTAAGGGGAGACCAAGATAAGACATAGGCAACTACGCAACCCTACAACCCAATATGGCGGCCAACTCCTCCATATTATTGACATCTTCCACTGTAATAGCCTCGGCTTTCCCCAATTTTATATTCAATCCAGATATAGCTTCAAAGTATAGAAGCAGACGACGCAAGTTCCTGAATTGCTCCGCATCTGCATCACAAAGGATAAATGTGTCGTTTGCAAATAGCAAATGGAATACCTGCAATTGGTCAATCATAAAGCCCCTTAACAGCCTACCCCACAGCCTTCTCAAGCATCCTACTGATAGCCTCCATAACAATAACAAATAGCAATGGAAACAAAGGATCCCCTTGCCTCAAACCTCTACTACTCCGGAAATACCACTCAGGAGTGCCGTTCACCAAAACTGAAAAGGAAACCGTAAAGATACTAAACTGAATCCATCTGTAGCACTCTTCCATGAAGCCACATCGCCTGAGCATATACAAGAGGAATCCCCAGATCACGTGGTCATATAAAAGAGGATTAGTTGAAGAGCAAGTCGTTGGAAAAAGTCAGTTGGGAAGTAGCCATAAATAAAGGTAAAAAGGATGGTAGAAGGAGGAAAAAATTGATAATAGAGAGAAGATAGCAGAGAGAATTCCTATCAAAGTTTTCTTCTTTAAAGTAATTTGCTTCTTCAATTCAATAGAAGTTCCTTTATTATTCCTCTATTTTTCTAGAGAAACTTTATAATACTGGTTAATGTAGACTCATAAAATTTCCAGCGTTCAACAATCAAATCCTATGTTTGTAAGGACAAATCTTATCATTGCCCCTTAGTCTTGGAACATGGTTTTACTATTAAATCTTTAAAGATTCTAACGCATGAGCATATTCATTTGACAATAAACCATTGAAGAACAAGAAGAGAAAAGGAATCCAAAAAGAGAAGCGAGCAAAGAACAAAATCAAATTTGTCATATATTCAAAAGGGGGGGAGGTATCTATTACATTGAATAAACCTTCTACAAAGCATAAAACACGGCTAAACATGAAGGTCAAGCTTCAAGCTTTACGAACCTACCCACAAAGGTGTTACTTATTTTTATTATTATTTTAAATACTTAATCATTTTAAAAATCATTTAATAATTAAAATAATACATACCAAACAACTAAAATTATAAAATACTAAATTTAAAAATTCCTACAATTAATCAATTATATAATTTTCAAGTTTTCGAAATGTGAAAGCTCGATTATTTTTAATAGTTTCAACTTTTAATTAAACAAATCATACTTTACAGATTTATAGGAACTTTATATATACTTTTGAAGTTTTCCACAAAATGATAAATTTCAAAAACATAATTACATAGTATAGATAGCATCATAACTTAAATTTTATCTAAATCTTTATGGGACAATCATTTTTGTCTTTTGTACAGACCTATCAAAAAAAATTGTCTTTTGTACAGATAAACTCATTTAAAATTTTAAAACTAAAGTCAAATAAAAGTCTTTAAAAAATTATTAAAAAAAAGTTAATAAACTAAAGTTAAATAAAAAAATTTTTTTAATGAAAAAAATAAAAATAAATTAATAAAGCCCCCCAAGCTAGGTGCATAAAGCAGCCAACTTAACAAATTACAGCTTAATTCACGTTTATTGTTAAAGCAAAACATTTTGACGGCACCTCACGCCTAGGCACGCATTTTAGACCTTGTTATATATTGAGCAATTGATCTAAAATCAAAAGAACTATTAATCTAGAACTTCATCAAAATATCAGATTAAATTTAATCTATCTAAACAACCTTAATATGAATTAATTCTTATTTAAAATCCTTATCTGAACTATTTCTCTCTATCTGCATCAAATCCTTGCGAAGTTCTTCCTGTTTCAAATTCATATCCCAAAAATCACAAGTTTCTTTACAGTATCTGACACACTCCCCTGATTACTTATACAAAAGTTATATTTGGATTTCTTTTACATAAAAGCTGAAAAGATTAAAAAAGATTAAGGTGTAATAAACTGGTTTTTGGAAAGATTTCACTAATATAAAGAACGGAGAAAGAGAGGCACTAGAAAAAGAGCAACAGTACAATAAATCTAAAGAAGTAGCAAGAACTGACGTTTAAAAGGCATAAGCCCATTTAAATCATACCCAGCAGTAGAGCAAGGCATTTGGAGACAAAGGTCAGGAGTAAGACGGATCATAAATGGAGACAGAAACTCTATATTTTTCTATGCCTAGTCAAAAGGAAGAGGACCAAAACCAAAATATCCCATATACTACTGGATAATGGCACCTACTGTCAAGATGAAGACAGGCTATAAATCTAAGCAGCTACATACTTGAACAATCACTGAGATACGAACAGGTTTCAGCAAACACAAACATTATTTGACATATACCTCAGGTCAATCAGCCAAATGAAAACCATAACCTCGGTAGTCTGTCTGATGAAGATGAAATCAAATAAGCAGTTTTCTCATTAAATAAAGACAGTTCAGCATGCCATGATGAATTTTTGGCCTTTTTGTACCAAACTTGCAGGAATACAGGTTTACCAGACCCAGTAAAAGCAGTTAAAGATTTGTTTAAAGAAAACTTCTCCCACGAGGTGTCAATGCCACTTCAATAGTATCGATCCTAAGAAAAAAGTGGCTAAAACAGTGGAGAGGCTTTGGGCCTATTAGCCTTTGCATTATACTCAACAAAATTATAAGAAAAAACTCTTTCTTTGAGATTGAATAAAGTATTGCCATAATCATCTCCCTCAATCAAAGTATATTCTTTCCTGGGAAGAACGACATTGTGTGGATGATTTTTTGCAGGCACGAGAAATGATTCATCAGAAGGATAGGAATGTGTGTGTGGGAGAA